GAGGCTTTTCTCCATCACGGAATGGATTCGTACTCCAAGTGCTAAAGTATGCCGAATCAGGACGGTCGTCTGACACAAAGCTATTTAAAGTGGTAATGCTTAGTGGCCTACCACCAACAATTTTCTCGGGTTTGGTCTTAGAAAGCAACATCCCATAATAATCCTCAAAAATTCCTTTTTGTTCAATATCTTCGTCATCATATGTAATAGACATGTTAAAAGACGTTTTATCCCTCAACGTCATTTCAAAAGCAAGTGTATTATGTTGAAAATAACTTTTGAAATCGAAAAAGCTCTTCTCTTGTTTCACCGAAGAAACAACATCAGCTAACATGACGTAAAAGTTTTCAAATTCATCCGGACTAGGTTCATAAGCGATGAATATGATTCGTTTATCAGTAAGAAAAATCATTCCAGTTGCAGATTGCACCACGGGTGAACTCTTGAATTTAATAGAGAATTCTACCGGTTGATGACGATGATAATAACTTTCATTTTCTAGTGGAACTGGAAATTTATGTCCGTTACGAATGCGAACTGGAAGTGTGTTAACGTACATTTTATTTCTCAGAAGTTTATTTTAATAAAAAAAAAAGAAAGGTTTTTATAGCTGGGAAAATTAACTTGATTGTTTTTTATACAATATTGTGCGCATCCGTGTGTGCGTGTTGTTTATGTCATATGAATACATGATATCACAAATTTCCAAAATAAGTTAAAAATAAGTGGGATGATTGCTTATAGATTGATATCGATATCACCACTTATCGATATCACCACTTATCACCACTGGAATTTTTTTTGATATGGTGAGATTTTTTATATAATGACATGGTTACAAAAGGTCAGCTTATTCTACATCATTCTCGATCACCAGAAGGTCTGTAGAAGTGGATTTCGAACAAGGTTTTACTTTGCAATTACCTTGTTTTTTTGTTGGTGCCTCACACGAGAACAAATAAATATGCGAGTTTACGAATAATATGAAATAAATATGTGTATCATAGATTAAGGCTTTGTACGGCGTACGTAGTTTCAAGTTGCGACACCAGTTAACCATTTTTGTTATACACTATAATAGTTCATAAATCCATTTTCGGAATGCTATTGCTTGGCTTTTTTTCTTTCATTGCGTTGTATAAAAAAGCAATAGCAGATCATTTTAAAATATTTTACAATACTAATAGTTAATTTAATATAATGACAGACCTAAATAGTCTTTCTGATCGTCTTCTTTTTGGAATTCCCAAAAAAGGTCGTCTTCATGAAACTTGTCTCTCGCTCCTTAGTGGTGCAGACATTAATTTTAATCGTCCTAATAGACTTGACATTGCCCTTGTTCGTAACCTTCCAATCGCCCTTGTATTTCTTCCCGCTTCTGATATTCCAAAATATGTTGCCGATGGAAACGTTGATCTAGGAATTACTGGCCGTGATGTGATCTTAGAAGCTCAAGTTGAGGATAGAATTGAGCAACTTTTGGAATTGGGTTTTGGAAATTGTAAATTACAAGTTCAAGTCCCAGTTAGAAGCAATATTAAAAAAGTTGAAGATTTGGTTGGAAAAAGGATTGTCACAAGTTATGTAGTGTTAGCTGGCGCTTACTTTGAAGAATTGGATAAAAAATATTTGAGTGATGATCAAAAAAAAGAAGGAGTGAAGACAAAAATTCAATATGTTGGTGGAAGTGTTGAGGCGGCTTGTGCTCTTGGTTTAGCTGATGGAATTGGTATATATTCGTTGTGTTTAAAATTATAGGGTTTTATATATTTAATTATTATTAATTAATCATTTTTTAAATAGTTGACTTAGTTGGTAAATATAGACATTCGCTCTGAATTGACTATAGCTCTCTAACTAATCGCTTGATTTATTAATCTGTTAGAATCTGGTGAAACAATGAGAGCGGCCGGTCTTCATCCTCTTTCTACAGTTTGTAATACACAAGCAATTCTAATTCGTAATCACCACTCTCCTAATTCTTCACTCATTTCCAAGCTTACATCTCGAATCAAAGGTGTAATAGCTGCTCAAAAATATGTATTACTTAACTATAATATTCAACGTACCTCTCTTAGCAAAGCTACTAAGATTACTCCGGGTAGACAAGCCCCTACTGTTAGCCCTTTAGACGATGATATGTGGGTTGAAGTGCAAAGTATGGTGTGTAAAGAAGAGGTCGCGGACATCATGGATCAATTGGAAGAAATTGGTGCTAAAGATATCTTGGTTTTCAAGATTGATAATTGTAGAGTATAGATTTGTTTATAAATTTATAGATACACATATATTTTAATGTAAGATATGGACAAATGATGTCACGGAACAGTTGTGGACATGAGTTAGACACTTCTGGACATGGACAAATAAATAAGTAATTAAAATTTTATTAAATTAACTATTTTGTTACCGGTAAGTTACCAAAAAATAGTAACTTATCATGGTAACTTACCACGGTAAGTTACCACTAACAACCCTGACTGTAGTTGCTATATCTCAAAAACGTACTAGTTAACACACATTAGGGGTACTAATCAAAAGTGTT